CATTTCTTTTTTCAAGATTTCTTTACACACTTGAGTAAACGGAGCCCTTCGTTTTTTGCATAAAAATAACAATTATCTTTCGGAATGTTTTGTAATTCACATCGGCAAGGTAAATTCGTGTATTTTGCTATTAAATGCTCTTTGAACGATATTGCCCAATAAACTAGTAGTTATGGCCGGAAAACAGGTATTTTGGGATAAACAATTAGAAATTCTCATTCAATTTATTCGACAACAAAGATTGAGAAACCGTGTTTTTTGGGATTCAATTGAAAGTGCTGACAGTACTGAAAAAACTTTCCCAAATAATCTGTTGTATCGAACAGAAAAATAAAAGTAAGAGTGAGTGATACCACTTCAGACACATTTGAAATAAACTTTTGGGTCCCTCAGGGATGTATATTTCAGTTATGTATAAATGATATGAGTGGGAGCTTGGTTGGTGAGGACGTCAGAGTAGTACAGTACGCAGATGGCGCAACTATCACTATAAGCGGAAAGTCACCCGAACAACTCGAAGATAAGGCAATCATTATTTTACTAAAATTTTCAGAATGGATTGCGGAAAACAAGTTGATAGTAAATACATCCAAAACAAAGTATATAGTGTTCTATAAAAGGCGAACTCTACCTGCTCTGATGCTCACGTTAAACAGTAGTACCACTGAGAAGGTGGAAAGCCACAAATATCTGGTCTCTACATGGAAGAAACACTTTCCGGGGAAACACACAGAGTATGTGGCTGATAAGATTAACTCAGCATATTTTGCATTGAGAAACCTACAGGGTCTAGTTAGTCGTAGGTGTCTCCTTAATACTTATTGTGCAATGGCGTACTGTCACATGAAGTACTTGGTTATATATTGAGGCATTTCTTGTGGCATACAGAGATTATTCATTCTGCAAAAGAGGCCGATTAGATTAGTATTTGGTCTCAACCCACTGGACATCTGTAGACCAGTATTTAAAGATAATAAAATTTTAACGTTACCGTCATAATTGATCTACGAGTCATGTTTATTTGTTAAAGAGCACACAGATTTTTTCCCCCAGCGCAGTGAAATACACGCCTACAATAGTAGATATAATACCTATATTCATATTCAAAATTCAGTGCTTATATAAAGAGTTCGATGTATTTATGTAGTGCCATGTATAATAAATTGCCTTTAGATATCAAGCAGATTACCAGCTGATTTGTGTTTAAAAATAAACTTCGGAACTCCTTACTAAATAAGGCATTTTATAATACAAATGAATTTTTGTGCGAGTAACACGTTATTTTTATATGTGTTTCGGTATCCCAATTCTTTCATGTCATATATTAGTGATCCACATCTTTTCTTTTTATTTTGACGCTTTGTATCCTATTTACAGGCTCACACAGATAAAGCATTATTCTATTCTATATGAAATATTCATTGACATTTTGTATTCATTAACCATAGCAACCATAATGCTGCTTATTTTTTTGGTATTGTTATCTCCACTTTATGTTTAACCACTAACTTGAGGTAACTAGCTTGCAGTAAATAGACAAAAAAGGAGCTTTGTGGATTTGAACCTCCGTCCTGCGGTTCTGCAATCGTTATTCCTTCTCATTAAACTACTCCGCCTCTTGGCTTACTGGATCGTTATACCACTATACTTGATACTGATAAATGTCAAGCGACTGTTGTAGGCATATCAAATCTGTTATTAATTCTCTTGAAAGCTATACAGGATACAATGTTGAAACTTTAAATAATCTATTAGGGACTAATACCGAGCATTTTGCCCAATTTTTCAGACGGTCAGTTCGCTACAATTGGTTGATGTTTGTCTACTGTTTTCTCGTTTTCTCGAGTTTGTTTTCGAACATTTTGAACTCGCAGTCGTTTAAATCTTACGAGATTTCGAAAAGAGACGCATGCTATATTAACCCTAGAATGGTACCGTGGTGTCGCCGGTGACACATCGAAATTTAAATCACGCGCTTATAACAAAGCACAGGAGAGGGGACGCTTAGATTATCGCTACCTGTCCGTCGTTCAGTGTTGAATTGAATGTGCTATATAGAGTTTATCGTGCGTTTAGCTTATTTTCATAAATTTGGTTGGTGTCACCTACGACACCACAGTACTACTGCCGCTCAAATTTTAATATAAGGCAAAGATGGCTTCTTCAAGTAGAGCGTTAACTCAGGCTGAGTTAGAAGATATAGTACGTAAATATGAAGCTGGTGAGAGTGATGACGATTCTATGGGCAGTGACATTATGCCGGAAAATTCGAGCGAAGATGAGGAGGACGAAAATGCGAGGCTCAGTGATAGTGATCACTCCGACTCGTTCTCAGCGGACTCAGGCACGAATAGTGAAGACGAAAGTGAGCTGAGAAAAAATGTGATATATGGAAAAAATGGGCACAAGTGGTATAAAACGCCTTTTTTACGAAGAACACCCGCATGTACAAAAAAATGTAGTTCTTCGTCTACCCGGACCAAAGTTGTGTGCATCGAACACGCCAGAGGAAATTTCAGCCTGGAAACTATTTTTCACTGACACAATGATAAACTCCATTAAACAACACATCAATGACGAAATCACAAGACAGTCTGCGAGGTATAAGGCTTCTCAAATCTTTATTTGCGGCACTGCTCGGACTACCTATTTTTAGAGCGACTATGTCACAAAAACGCTTCGAATTCCTAATAAACTGTCTTCGTTTCGATGATGAGGCAACCAGGCTGGAAAGGACACGTGACGATAAATTTGCTTCTATTCGATTCCTGTGGAATGAATTAATTGAGTGCTGTGAAAATAATTACACTCCAGGGACATATATAACCATTGACGAACAGCTGCTTAGCTTTCGCGGAAGGTGCCCTTTTAAAACATATATTCCAAATAAGCCCGATAAATATGGAATAAAAATTGCTATGCTTTGTGATTGCAACAGTTTCTATATGCTTTCGGCAGTTCCTTATGTAGGAAAACAAATCAGAAACAGTTCAGAAGCTTCGCCTACTCATTACGTTCTACGACTGTGTAAAAATATCTATGGTACGAACAGAAATGTTACCATGGACAATTGGTTTGCTTCTTCTAGCAGAAAAACCTCTTCAGCACAAACTAACAATGGTGCGAACCTTGAGGAAAAATAAGTACGATATTGCTTCTGAATTTCTGAAAAATAAAAGCAGTGTGCCAAGCTCTGACTTTGTTTATGATGAAAATAAAACTTTAGTGTCATTTTCACCAAGGAAAAACAAAATTTTTTTATTGATATCAACTTTTTATACATATGGTGTAGTAGATGAAGAAACTAAAAAGCCAGAGATCGTTTTATTCTACAACTCCACTAAAGGTGGAGTAGATACATATGATCAGTTATGTCATTCCAAAATTACAGCTCGTAAAACTCGTCGTTGGCCACTAAGAGTTTTTTACGGCATGCTAGATGGTGCAGGCATTAATGCTTATATCATATATACTAAGTGACATATAAATCCGAACACCCAGTTTAAATGGTTTTATTTTAATAAAATTTTGTATAAGTACTTAATGAAGCATAATAAGTAAATGATAAAAATTTCAAAATGATTGCACTGCTTTAAAGCCCTTTGACCTTTAATAACGTGTGGATGCACCCTGATGTGCTACGCATTCTCCAACGCGCCTAGACATGCTTCTGATCAGGTGGTCAATGTCCTCCTGTGGTATCTCATTCCAGGCAACCACCAACTCCTCTCGAAGTGCTTCTAGAGTCTGAGGATGACGTTGCAAATTGAGCAATCTCCTACCCATCATATCCCACACGTGCTCAATTGGGGATAAGTCGGGAGATCTTGGTGGCCATGGTAACAATGTGACATCATTATGTTGAAAGAAGTCTATTGTGACTCTTGCAACATGTGGTCGGGCATTATCTTGTTGGAAAGTTGGATCTGCCAGGGTGTCAAGATAGGGTAAAAGATGGGGTTCTAGAACTTCGTGGATATAACGCTGCGCGTTCATGTTACCTCTGATGAAGATTAAAGGTGACCTGGAACCATAAGCTATAACACCCCAAACCATAACTCCAACAGTGTGATGAACATATCTTTCAACAAAAAACTGTGGATTCCTCCTTTCACCACGTCGCCTTCTAACCCTGGCACGACCATCGTGCATGCCTAAACAAAATCGAGACTCGTCACTAAAGACAAGAGTGACGGTTGTCTGCACCACTCAAGGCGATTACGTCGGTGTTCTCGAGTTAAAGGGAGGACCCAGTGTGGCCGGTATGAAAACAAGCCAAAACTTCTCATTCGTCGGTAAACACTTCGCATGCCAATAGGTCTTCCGTGTTCTGCGAACCATTCATTTGCAATGGACCTGGTAGTGGAGAAACGGTCCCTTAAGTCCAATAATCTTAGGCGGCGATCTTCACGGTATATTGTTCTACTGGCTCTTTGCGTACGGCCTTCTCGAAGCCATGCCTGACAACACCTAACCACAGTGTCTACACTTCTTTGCACTCTAACTGCAATTGCCCGAAAAGAAAGTCCAGCTATACGGCCCCTATCAAACTCACTAAATTGACGAAATCGTACAGGTCTCCGTACTCTAGGCATCCTAACCGATCGTAAAGGATGTCAAGAACCAAAATCCGCCAACGTTGATTCTTTACTGCGGGTGAAGTAGTCATTTTTAGAGCGTTAGTGAATTAAAAAAAGCAGTATAAAAACCGGAATGTCCAACTGATAAGGCTGAAAATTTTTTCACTGGTTATTTACAGTAAGGTAAATACATTCACCAACTTTTATTAAAATAAAACCATTTAAACTGGGTATTCGGATTTATATGTCACTTAGTATACAATGGAAACAATACGAAACGTAACCCGAACTCTAAATCTATGTCAAGGAAAGAATATCTTAAACAGTTAGCCTATCAGTTAGTAACACCACATTTGCAAAATAGGTTAAAAATACCGACTGTGTCCAGATTCTTAGGTTCCTTGATTTTGGATGTTCTAGGACAAAATGAAGAAGTTTTGCCTACACGAAATGAAAGAAATCAGGATGCAATCCAAAAACGATGTCAAATTTACCCCTGAGCCGCTAACAGGAAAGGAAGAGATGTCTGTGTACGTTGCAGTGCTCACTTATGTGCTGAACACAGAAGGCTAATATGTCCAACATGCTCAGAAGTTTTTTTTTTTTTGCTAAAAATACTTTATTATTTTAGTTTTAGTTACACTTATGTTGTCAGTTTATGTATATACATTTACCTTATATTAAAATTTATGAATAACTTGAACGACTATGTTTTGAATAAATTTTCATTAGTGTGTTGAAGAATTTTGCACATATGGTTGTGTTTCGTGATTAAGATTCAATAAATTATCTATCTTTTCTAGCGTTATCATTTTAACTCGTCAAAGAAAATGGTGTCATATATGACACCACTATACCATTCATAAACTAGAAAATAGATAACATTCTAAGGTTAATACTTTTAGAAAAAAGGCCTTCCTGTTTTAAAATGTGTATAATATCGTTTGTTTTTCGAGTATCGTAGCGAATCTGTTCAATTACTCATACATGACTAAATTTGCTTAGAAGAAAAAAACGTAATCCTTTTGCATTTTGCTTTAAAATGCTCTTTGAACGAACCCTATATATTGGTCAGTGATGGCCGGAATACAGAGGTTTTGGGATAAACGATTAGAAATTCTCAAAAACTACTCGATCAATCGACTTCAATTTTGTTGAGGTTATTTAGAAGTATACAGCCTACGGATTTGAAGAATTTCAAGTAGCTGCCTCGAATTATCGTTGCATTAGCAACAAGTGCCAAAACCTGCATATAGCCTCGATTTTCGGCCAAAACTTTTTTACTATTTTTCGGATATTTTTATGTGTGATCTCATTCTGTAGGTCTCATAAATACCTAAAAATCTTATTTGGAAAGTTTTTTCAGTCCTGTCAGCACTTCCAATTGATTCCCACAAAACACGGTTTCTCATTCTTTGTTTTCGAATAAATTGGATGAGGATTTCTAATTGTTTATCCCAAAACACTTGTTTTCCGGCCATAACTACTAGTTTATTGGGCAATATGTAGGGTTCGTTCAAAGAGCATTTGATAGCAGAATACACGAATTTACCTTGCCGATGTGAATTACAAAGCATTCCGTATTAACTATGCTGATCTGAGCTATCTGAACCTTGTGGTCAGATATGTTTAAGTCCTGGTTACATGCACTTGCATTATCAAAAGTTGTGATTATACAGGGTGTCCGCAAAGTTGGGGTTTTCCTTTACACGACGTGTAGATCTTGAAAACATAAGCAATTTTTCTTAGTACCATATACACCAATGTCTTAAAGGAACCGAGATAAAGGGCTCTGCAACATCAAAAATATCTGAATACCGTCCTGTAGCCGCGACCCGCCGGGATATCACCGGTTGGTACAAGGTCTCAACCCGACGACGGAACTCGGTCGGGGTCAGTGTGTCAGGTCCTTCAACCGAGGGTTACGGTCACGCGTGTAGAGGTAACGTACCCGTATAATCGATTGCGTTTCAAAATAATAATAATAATGGCACACTCATACACCAATAATGAACTCGTTGATATGTTGTTAATTTATGGCGAATGTCCTCAAAATGCTACAGAGGCGTCGCGAGTGTATGCACCTCGTTTCCCTAGACGACATCATCCAAGGCCCCGCAGATTTGTGTACCTGGTCCAGAGAGTCAGGGATACGGGCCATTTGGAGGAATTTCGAGGTGGGCACAGTGGGAGGCCTAGACAACCACGAATGGTGCAAGTTGAGGAAGAACTACTGAATCGCGTAGACGAGAATCCCTCAACAAGCACTAGAGACGTGGCTAGAGAAGTGCAAGTATGGAAAACTAAAGTGTGGCAAACGCTGCGTGAAGAGGGGCTGTATCCGTTTCACGTCCAACGTGTACAAGCCCTTCAACCTGACGATTTTCCAGCAAGAGTGCGGTTTTGTGAGTGGTTGTTGCATCAACATGACAATAACCGGAGTTTTTGAAGTGCATATTGGTGATAGACGAATCTACCCCGAATGTGCCCCTACTGAGCGAGGGCCGTGGCAAATGCTTGTTCCGGAAGTCGTTGTATCCAGTATACAACTTCTTCCCGTCCAAGTGATTGCGCACGAGCTAAGGAATACCTCAGTACCGATTGCCGGGTGGCGGTACAAGTCCGCCAACGGGCCTCTTTAGGTCTATTTAACATCACTAATACGTAAAAAGAAGGTGGTAGACAAGGACCAGTCGACAGAGGCAGTACCACCCGCTAGCTTCTCCCAGGGTGTCTTATAAATGTCCGCATGTTTCCACACCTAAGCTATGCAGTCGGTTATCTACCAAAACAAAGAAATTAATGATGATGGATCCCTCGAGCACTAAAAACTCCGGACGTAAACTCACTCCACTCTCGGGATGTCCGGGTGGAGGGTGGGCTCGAGGGAAAAACATCGAAGATAAAATTTGTTTTTCGAACATCTGCGGGATCAACAGCAACGTTGATGCTGTTCATCACTACCTGCAATCCAATCGTCCCGCCGTGCTTTTCTTGGCGGAGACAAAAATCTCAGAGGCTACACCGATTAACCATCTCAACTTCCCAAACTACGAGGTGCACTCCAATCTGAGAAAGAACGGGGGAGTTGTGGCTTTTGACCGCAGCAGTCTTTCCTGCTCCAGGGATCTTTCTTTGGAATCAGACCGGAAGGACATTCTGTGGCTTCGCCTCAACTCCAAAACATCACCCAAATTTATTTGCTGCCTTTATCGCTCTCCCTCGAACCATAACTGGGATGACCTACTCGAATACCTCGCCGTCCAGATCGACTTCCTGAACATCAATCACCCCGCTTCAGAGGTAGTTCTTCTCGGTGATTTCAATGCCCATAATGAGCTTTGGTTGGGCTCAAATAAGACCGATGCAGCAGGTCGTGCAGTGGAAGCGTTCGCTCTTACTCAAGGGCTGACCCAGCTGGTAACGAGCCCTACTTTTTTCCCCCGCATCTCGTCACACGCCAGTAGCCTGCTGGATCTCTTTCTGACCACGCATCCTGCCCCTTACAGCACTGCCGTCCTGTCCCCCCTGGGTAACTCAGATCACGGTGTTGTGGAGGTTAGGTTTCGGTCAGAAGCCGCTGTGGCCGCAGAAACTCGCACAGGCCGCAAAACTTGGCATTACGGACATGCCGACTGGGAGGGGCTCAGAGACTTCTTCTCTAGCTTTCCTTGGAGAGATGTCTGTTTCACTGACGCGGATGCGTCGACTGTCTGTTCTTCAATAACCGAAATTATCCACGTCGGAATGGAGGAATACATCCCTCACACAGTGAAAGTTCCTAAACCAGGGTCCAACGGCTGGTTCAACAAATCGTGTGACACTGCTCGCCAGCAGAAGATCAAGGCCCACAGAACCTACTTACAAAACCCCACTGTAGAGAACAGACAAGCCGACGTCGAGTCCAGAAACAAATATAACGAAGCGGTTCGCAATGCCAAAACCCAGCATGATATAAAAGTTAGGCACAGGGTAATGTCGCAGCGCAATGGCAGTCGGTCTTTCTGGACGCTGGCCAAGCAGATTGAAAAGAACTTCTCACACAGTAGCCTTCCACCACTTACGTGTCAGGATGGAACTATTGTATTCGACTCAAAGGCCAAGGCGGAAGTGCTAGCCAAGATCTTTGCTGCCAACTCCACCATGGACGTCCCCACCAACGCCCAAGTGCCGTCAATTCAAAGGGTTCCCCACACTATGCGGGAGGTAACATTCAGGCATAAGACCGTAAGACGAGTGCTCTTGTCGCTCGACATCAACAAAGCTTCTGGTCCGGACTCGATTCCTGCCATTGTACTGAAGAGATGTGCAGCTGAACTTGCTCCAGTTTTTTCGCGTCTCTTCCAGATATCTTATGAATCCGGCACCTTCCCAGAAAACTGGAAATTTGCTCATGTACAGCCCATCCCAAAAAAAGGATCTAAAACCGACCCTTACAACTACAGGCCTATAGCTCTGCTTTCTGTTATCAGTAAAGTGATGGAGAGGTGCATAAATCGCGAGCTTCTGGACTACCTCGAACGTCACAGCTTGATTAGCGACAGGCAGTACGGTTTCCGGCACCAACGATCCACAGGGGACCTCCTAGCTTACGTCACGCAACTGTGGAGTAAACTCATCCAGTCTCATGGTGAGGCTCATGTCGTTGCTCTTGACATCACGAAAGCGTTCGATCAGCTGTGGCACGCTGCCCTCTTGAGCAAACTTCCATCCTACGGCCTCCCAGAAAAGCTTTGCAGATGGGTGGCTGACTTTATCTCTGGCCGCAAGATATCCGTCGTAATCGACGGATTCTCCTCTTCATCCCACAACGTCAACGCGGGTGTTCCCCAGGGATCGGTCTTGGCTCCAACACTGTTTCTCTTACATATCAACGACCTCCTTTCCTGCACGATCAACCCAATCCACAGCTTCGCTGATGACAGCACTCTACATGCAGGAATTCAGAGTGACAAGCCGATCTCTGCCGCTGAGCTGGAAAAAAGAAGACTAGCGACGACTTCTTCTCTGACAAGAGACCTGGAGGCTATCACTGCTTGGGGACGCAACAATCTTGTACAGTTCAATGCTTCCAAAACACAGTACTGTACTTTGACGAACAAAAAGCGTCCTAGCGCTCATACAGTTTCGATGGACGGTCGAGTTCTACCAAAGAGCCATTCATTTCGGCTGGTCGGAGTCCAGATCACCGAGGACCTGATCTGGCACGAACACATCTCTTCAATAGCTGCAGCTGCTGGGAAAAAGCTAGGCTATTTGTTTAGGGCTAAGAAGTACTTTTCTCCGCATGACCTTCTCACTCTATACAAGGCCCAGATAAGGCCTAGCCTCGAGTATTGCTCACACATTTGGGGTGCTGCCGCCCCGACTACATGCTCGATGCTGTCCAGAGGAGGGCGGTCCGACTGATCGATGAATCTTCTCTAACAGACAGTCTCGGGACTCTTTCGCACCGGCGGGCCGTCGGCGATCTAGCTCTTTTCTATCGCTACACCAACGGGCTTTGCTCCTCAGAGCTCTCTTCCATGATGCCGCCGCGCGATGTGCCTACCAGACAGACCCGCCTGACTTCGGCGTCCCATCCTAACCGTGTCAAACTTCGTACA